TAGTTGAATGACCACTTCCAGAATTTGATTTGGGCAACAATGCACAGAGAGTTCCATAATTGACACCTTGGAAGATCTGAAAATATAAATTAATACCACTATACAAAACATGATTCTGAAAAGTCAATGCATCAGACATGAAAGAACTGTACAGTCATGAAACACCAAATATTGGGGTCTGAAAATCTCTAAATCAATTTTTTGACACAATAAAACCCCATCTTAAATTATTAAAGTCTGACACGAGGAAGTTATTCTGGTTTCACAGCATCAGCTTTAAAGCAGAGAGTGGTTACTTGAAAACAATAAGATTTAAGTCATGTTTGAAATTGCAATTTTGCTCTATCTGTTACATCTGGGACAAATTAATGCCATTACACTCCTCTAACACAAAATCTAATTCGAGACAAATCACCTTGAGTTTAACCCTTGAACTTTCCCAGCAGGCAGAAATGTCATGAAGAGTTGACATGGAAACAAAACGCACAGGTTGGGTAAACAAGTCTCTTTTTTTTCCAGGTCATTACTCACACAGAATTACGCAATTACTGAACATTACAGGAAAAAAGGCTCTGAGGTCACGAGTGCTTCTCATTCGATTGGCATTTTCTTCCAAAGAAAAAGGGATGTGGACCTAAATGACAGCTGGTTTAGATTAGGACTTTGTCTCAAACACAGTGAAATGGTGTGTTCTTTCTGAACGGCAGTAATAAGATTGTCTGGCACCGGGACACCTCATTGAATTTCACGAACAAAAACACACCCACGGTCAGAAAATTACATGTGTGGCGGTGACTTTGAGATTCCAGATAAAACACTGTTTTGAAATTTTGGCTTTTTCTCTGAAGGTCTTCGAATGTTTTTTCCTGGTTTGGCAGCGATGTCAGAACATGACTCTCGGTCTTATTTTGAAGTCTGGACAGAGTTGACCACCACATTCCTCCACTGACCCGGAGTTAAGCTCAACAAAAGCAGAATTATCATTCGGCAGCATTTTGAAATCCTTTCTGTTTTGCGTTCAGCTCTGGCTGTAAAAGTTGAGACTGTTTGATGTTTATCTCGAGTAAAACACAGAAAAGTGAATGTTCCGAGATTTGCAGCTGTGTCGGTCAATCAGATTAAAATGTTTGGCTGCTCGTTGAACGTTTGTCCTTACTGACTCCCCCCTGAAAGGTTCAGGAAAGTTCTTTACTCCTCTGTAGTTCTCTGGTAAAACTTCTCAGCTGAAGCGAAACACCAAACTGCTTTTTAAAACTATATTTAAGAGCCTTTTCAAGGCTCATAGATAGGGGAGAGAGGGTACTCAAAGCCAGATTTTCAAGGCATGGGGGTCATTGCTCAATAATGTTAGGGTTAACACTGCATTATGTCAAAAAAACAAGTACAGTATTAGTACATTTTTGCTATTTTTTCATTCAATCGTAATTTTAAAATGTACCAATGATTTGAAATTTATGTTCATGTTAATTTAATTAAAAATAAATTTTAAAAAGCTTTTTTTAGTGTGTGTATGTGTTTGTGTGGGCAAATATTTCCTACTATGCGGGGACCATTTTTGACATATACATCTTGTGGGGACCAACTGGACCTAAGCCTAGTCCCCATGAGAGGAAATGGCATTGGTGGGTCGGGGGTTAGGTTCAGGACGTAGGTGTGAATTAAGTTTAGCTTGACTCCAGCAGCTATAGGCAAAGTTTTAAACAAACATCAGTCGATGCTCAGAGTGAGGATTGGGAGCAACTCTCAGCTACTACCACACCAAATTTTATTCAAGCTCAGTGTTTTGCGTATTCTAACATTGTTTAGCAGAAACCATCAATCAGGTTAAATCAAATAGTTTTAAACTGTAGGTGTAAATCTTAAATGTGATTAAAATCTGTTCAGTTGTTTATGAGATATTTTGCTAACACTGCAGACAAATGCACACACACAAAGGCAACAAATATGATTGGCCTCATTTTGGCGCCAGGTGACAATGAAGAAAGTTTTCGCAAAGTCATGTTTGGTGCGTGGGGAAAAAAAAAGAACAGTTCAAAAAAATCAATAAAAAATAATGTATCCCTGTCCAGACAACACAACACAACACAACACAAAACTCAGATGAATGACAGCATAACCTGCCTTTCAGCACCACAACCAGCCTGACGTCAACATTATGAGACACTGGCATCATTGCATTTCTAGTTGACATAAAATAAAGTCGTCTATAATCTTGTGTTGGACAAATGTTAGCCGAAACAGAAGCCAAGAAAAGGGAAAAAAAATAAAACACAAAACACGCAAAACAAAAAACCAAATCACAGGCTGCCAAAATGTCTCATTTTAGGACAGAGCCACACACTAAGTGCTCTTTGTATTTATATCTGCGGATGGTTCAAGAGAACACATTATTCCCTCATGGTCTGATTTTAGCTGGGTTTTTTTTTTTTGTTTTGTTTTTTTTTTGTAATCCATCATCTCTCTGGAAGGACATGACTGAAGCTAAATTAGGCTAGCTTGGCTGCCTTCAGTACAATAAGAGCACTTTTTGGACTGAATTGATTTAAATGCATTACAATTACATCGAATTTCAAGTAATGGTATACAACTCAAATGTACATTCATCTTAAAGGGGGAGGGGATATGCAAACTTGACTTTGAGCTTTATATCATATTTTAATGTCATTTCCCTGCCTAAAACAGAGTGTTGCTTTGCCTTATTCATGCATGATGGAGAAATCCTCGACTCTCCTGTCAGGAGCTGCCTAAATACTTGCTGGTATATAGCCCCGCCTATTTGTACATAGCACCTCCCTGAGCTCACCCCACAGAGCACCCATTGCCAAAAGCATTGTTGTGAAGACGTGCTGAAGTGGGAGTGTTGGAAATGGTTTCGATAGGCTATGATGCAAAGTTAAATTTATTTTTGATACATACAGCTTTTTCGTAACAACTTAAGGTAACATAGTTAATTGTGGTATAGAACTGAACTATGTCGAAAAACATAATACAACCACTGTGCACTGCAGCAGAGCAGAACTGAACTGTAGTGTAAATTAGGGGTAAGATCTTGACATATAAGTTGAGGTGCCTTTTATTTAGATTTTAATGTGCAGTACTGTAAGGACACGATTGATGCTAAAAGAAAATGTTTTTTTGGCACAAACAACTTAATTCCCAAAGATCTATTATCTGAAAACGTTAGTTGATCAGCTGAAGGATGATGCATCTCTCAGGTCGTGGGTCAAGTGTTTCCTCTCTGACCTACTTCAACCTTTTGTTCCTTTTTCAGGCACTGAGATCTTCTGACTTAAACTTTGGTACAATCTTTAAACAGGCCTCATCACTTCCTGTTTTTAAACCGCTCTTAAAAACACGTCTGTTCTCATTGACTTTTAATCAAGTGGGTGGTTTTGGCATTATATTTTTCTGTGTTCTTCGTTTATTGTCTTCTGATGCTTTTAAATTAATTTGTTTTGTATTGTTCAGCACGTCAGTGACAACCTGTTGCTCTCTTGTCATTGTTGTTGTTTTTAAGTGCCTTGACTTTTGCCAGTTTCTAAAGGGCATGGCTTTCAGATCATCTTCTGTTCAACTTGTATAGAAAGTGAGAAGGGAAATGTTTCTGGTTTGACAGGAAGAAAACTATGGACTCCTGGAAGGAAAACGTAGAAGGGATGAGGGAACAGTTCAGAGGAATTGAACAACAATGAACAGTTAACACTCAGTGGGTTGTTCCATCAGGATCTACAGATAACAGAAACAATGCTGCACAGCTGCTAAGGCATGCTGAGAGGAAGAAGGAGAATTCAAACAAACTGTGGAGGAGATGATAGTAATGACATTCAGAGGAACAACAGAAAGGTGCTCAGTGGAGAACCTCAGCAGTATTTATACAGTTTGAATGTGTTTCTCTCTTAACTACAGGTTTGGCCATGATCTGATCCCAACGTCCACCTGCACAACACCCATGTTCCTCGTCCAGCAGGTTCCCTGAGACTCTGGTCCAGCTGGGATGACGGCCTTCAGCCCTCCTGCTCTGCTCCTGTGCCTGCTGTTCTGCACGTCGGAGGCTGACCTGCGCTTGGCCTACGTCACCCACAGCAGCTTCATCTACTACTCGTGCAGCCAGGACCCGCAGCCCTGCAGCGCCTCGTCGCTGACAGACTGCAGATGCAAAACCATGGAGCGCCGGACCCTGACGCACTCGGCTCCTGTTTTCCGGAGGACAAATTTAACGATCTGGTTCACATCGCCGTCCAACGTGGCGCGGCTGCTCAACAACTCGGAGGTCATCCACCTTACGCTCATCCACTGCGGCCCCCCCGGAGGAGAGCCCCGCGGGGTGCCCTTCCCCCCACTGGAGGAGTATTTTGCAGTGCAGCGCCTGAAGAGGCTGACGGTGTTGAACGTGCCGGAGAGACCGTTCCTCCAGTGTCCCGACGCAAACCGAGTCAAGAGYTCCAACGCAGACCAGGATCAAGGCTTTTATTTTGACTTGCACAGATACAAAGACTCCAACATGGATCTTGTTGCAGACGCAGTGAAAGATCCTTTGACTGTGTCCTCAACCCAGATTCAGGACATCTTCCTGGGCAGGGAGCTGGGAGCAGCTCACCATGAACAGGTCAGACTGGGAATCATCCACAGCTCCGTGCTGGACTGGGGGGCGGAGGTCAAAGCCTACACGGTGCAAACGCACATAGACAGTGACGGTGYACTGCCGTTCCCTGACCTCCACCTGGCTAAACTACCAGAAACATCTGTTRTATATGTCAGCTTTGTGTACTGATTGAAATTTACTTTGAGGAAAAAATGAGGATCAATTGTTCAAATAAAAATCAYTTTTCTTGCTCCGTCTTACCATCACTCAGAACAAGACACTCAGATACTTGAACTTATTTGTCTGAGGCAGAGACTCAGTGCACGCTAAAGGTTGTCCAAAAACACCAACAGAACCACATCATCTACAAAAAGACCAGACAGCTTCCTCTCCGTGGCTGGTCCCTTCAGATCCTGTCCATGAACACCACAAACAGGACTGAAGACCAGGTCCAGCCCTGAGCTGGTCAACTTTGTGCCAAAGAAGTGGGCACCACTCTTGTTTTGGTCATGCAGAAGCCAAGTAGCCTTTTAGTTTAAAACTGACACCACACACTCCTTCAGCCCCCACACTGGAATCCCTGCTTTTCCAAATCCACACAACACATTTAGACTGGAGCCAAACTCCCATAAAACCCGTAGGAACGGTGCCAGAATGAACCAGTAATGAGGTATGGCTCATGACTGAAAAAAAAGATTCTTGACTTGAAAACAAAATAGTGTATGTCTAAAGTGGATGTTTGAACTCTTCCTACAAAGCTGAAAAGGTGAAACAAAATCATTACTTAAAGTTAAAAATAAAATTCTTGTTCACATTTTGCCTTTCTCTGTGAAGCATAGAAAACAGCACAAAACGAGCACATGATCTTAGTTAAAGATCCTGAAAGAACACTTTTTAACTGCTTTTCTCAGCTTAAGGCAACATCTTGTTGAACCAGATTGTGCACAGATGTTGTTTATGTGACTCTGAGCAAGATCCAYGCCTGTTTGGATTTAAGTTCAAAGAAAAAACTTTGGGGAAGTTGTTCCTAAAATACAAATATATCATAATTTTGATATTATTTGGGTTGTATCCTGTGTGTCCCCCTCTTTTCATTATAAAAAATATACCCTTCTGTTTTCAGCTCAGCATAAAAGTCAGTTAAACTTTTAGGCCTCTGGTTCTGTTTTTGTTTGATACAAGTGACACAGGTTCACTTCTAAAACTAACCAACAGGGGGCAGCAGATCACAGCGAAACAAACTGGAGGACTGATTAAAAAACATGACTGTTTTCTGTATAAACCTAATTAGCATTTCTATTACCATATTTCAAAAAGTTTTTGCATACTTATGTAGTATTTGTTTATTAAAGCTCTGTTATTAGGAGTTAATACRACTTAGTTTGGTATTTATTTGTTTACGACTTAAATTAACATGTCTCTCATTTGTTTTTTTGTTTTGTTTTTGTTTTTTATAGTTGACAAAGAAACAAATGATTCCTATGATTTAATGGTTTAATTTGATTCATTTTTCTGTGAATACTTTATAATGTGTGCAAAGTAAATCACCAGTACATTTTAATGAAGAAAAAAAAGATTAAAAAAACTGTCTACATCTGGCTCTGTGTGCCCATATATGAACATTTTTACGTCTTCACTGCCTAAAAATGGGCAGTAAAGAAGCTGACAGTGTCTCTGTTAGCAAAATATCTCATGAGCCACTGTTTTATGTGTATCTACAACTGATCAATTTACCAGAGCAGAGGCCCTCCAGGRTCCTTTGAGGACCACTTTCCTGCTTGTTTCCCTGTTCCAACACCTGATTCGGTGGCTGAATTACCTCTTCAAGTTCTGCAAAGGCCTGCCAACCAAATATCCATTCGAAACAGGTGTGTTGGAGCAGTTAAAACTCTAAAACATGAAGGATAGCAGACTGCAGAGGAAACACAAGTCAAGATGACCGCCACGGCTAAACAGACCACAGACACTAGGATAAAATGTGGAGTGGTAGTAGATGAGAGTCATCCCTAATTAAAGAGCTAACAAATCTCACAGGATCTCGTGATATTGAGTGTAATGTCAGGTAATAATAATAATAATAATAATAATAATAATAATAATAATAATAATAATAATAATAATAATAATAATAATACACCATCAATTTTTAATCTCCTTTACAGATTATAAAGTTCCTATTTTAGATTATGATCTTAAATGAAGAACCTGCTGGTATAATATTCAAATAATACAAAGCTTTTAATTTAAAATGGTTTTTACAGCTCGGCCCACAGGTGTGCATATTTGAAGTGTTTCAGTTGATCTGTGTGTGGTTTCTCAGGCGCAGCTGCATGAAGCTGTGGATGATCAGAGATGCCACTGACACCTGCTAGAGAGCTGCTTATTTGCATGAGAAGCGCGAGACTCCGTGGTTTTTTGTGTTTGTTTATTATTTTGATTATTTGTGGGTGAATGCGAACTGATGCAGCCTGTTGATCCCTGCACCTGAGAGGTCATTACATCAGAGGAGGGAGGGGGTGGGGGGCATTAAAAGCCCACCTCCATTCAAAACAAATCAATTACACGTTCAGAGACCACAGTGAAAGCGCACTTCCAGCCTCCAGGAGGTGAACCCCGGCCTGCTCCTCTCCTCCAACGGAGCCTCCTCCTCCTCCTCCTCCTCTTCCTCAGCAGTAAAACATTTTTATCATCAGACGTTATTGTTCTCCTCCTCCTTGTGGGGAGATGCGCCCATGTTCATTTTTTTAAAAGGGCAAATCAGCCATAATTCAGTTTATAAACTGCGGCGCGCGCGGAGGGGGGGAGACGCGCCCGGATGAATATTCATTAGAGGCCCGAACTGCCGCGCGCGGTGATTCATTAGGCATATGTAAATATCACTCACTTTAATTGGCCCTAAACTGACTCAACATAATGTTGTCATTAGCAAATTATTACTTATTTGTGATACTAATGGTGCGGTATGGCGCGCGGAGCCGCAGATCCACATATATGATTGTAATTACAGCTCTKTTTTATTCACAGGGTGACGCTGGTGGGGCTGTGTGCGCGTGATTCAATCCCACCAACACATTTGAGCCTACAAAAAATAATAATAAGAAAAACATAAACTGCTTTATTTGTAAGTTTACAGCTCATATGGAATCGTTTCAGAAATGTTTCCTCCCTCCTTTTATTCCTAATTTAAGTTATGTGTTCATAAAATACAGCAACAACAAAAGCAAATGATTTCCCTCATCTAAAGTGCTTTTATGCAACAGCAGGAGAGATGCAGAAAAAAAGCTTCAAAAATAAAAAAGCTGGGAATATTGCTTCAATAAAATGATGGATCTGAGACGTTTTTTTTTTCCTTTTCCCTTAAATTGATGATTAAAGTGGATTATATGTTGGTTAAATTAAAAGTGATCAGACTGCATTTGCAAAGTTATTATGAAATAAAAGTGTTTTGAGAATGCTTTGTTTTTATTTGATTTTACATTTCTCTTTAAATTGGAAGCAATATCAAAAAGCTATGCCTGTTTGAGAT